GGTGTCCCCACCCCAGGTGTCCCCCCACCAGGTGTCCCCATGCCAAACGTCTCCATACCAAGTGTCCCCTTGCCGTGTGTCCCCATACCAAGTGTCTCCACCCCAAGTGTCCCCGTGCCAGGTGTCCCCATGCCAAATGTCCCCACACTAGGTGTCCCCATTCCAGGTGACCCCTTGCCAGGTGTCCCCATGCCAAACATCTCCATACCAAGTGTCGCCTTGGCATGCGTCCCCCTACGAGGTGTCCCCTTGCCAAGCATCCCCATGCCAAGTGTCCCTACCCCAGATGTCCCCATACCAAGTGGCCCAACAGTCAGGTGTCCCCTTGCCATGCGTCCCCATAGCAAGTGTCCCCACACTAGGAATCCCCTTGCCAGGTGTCCTCATGCCAAACATCTCCATACCAAGTGTCCCCTTGTTGTGTGTCCCCATACCAAGTGTCCCCTTGCCAGGTGTCCCTATGCCAAGCATCCCCGTGCCAAGTGTCCCCACATCAGGTGTCCTCATACCAAGTGCCCCCATGCCAGGTGTCCCCGTACCAGATGTCCCCATGTCAAACATCTCCATACTAAATGTCCCCAACCCAGGTGTCACCCAAGCCAAGCAGAGCTCTGCAGTGTCCCTGACCTTCCCCAGCCCCTGTGGGTGCTCAGGCCAGGGGACAGCAGTGTCACCAAGCAGTGAGTGACACCAGAGGGTGGGGGACAATCCCAGGGGGTGGCACCGTGGGGGAGCAGGCTGGTCTGGATGGGGACAGGCATGGGTAGGGGACATGGTGCCTATCACTGCTTTGTCCCCAGGGACTTAATAGGGTGACAGAGGACAAAGTGTGTGGTGGCACCAAGTGACCATGTTTAATGTGCTGTGGTGGGGTGGGGACAGGGACATGTGGCAGGTGAGGTGTGGACAGGGACATGGGACAACCTGAGCCAGGTGGGAAGGGGCTGGAGGCCACTGGGATGGACATGATGGGATGGGGACAGGAACCACTGGGATGGGGACAGTGGCACTCCTGTCTCCCTGCCTCAGTTTCCCCAGGAGATCTCATCTCAGCTGGGGACAGAGTGGCAGGGAGGGGGAGGTGACACCCATGAGCACCTGGGGTGACATCAAGCCCCTTGCTTAGGGATCTGGTGGGTGCTGCCCATCCTCCTCAGCCTCACAGCCCGTGTCCCCAGCCTTTTCCTCCTGTCCCCGGTAGCGTGGGGGGTTGGCACAGAGGGTGTCACGGGTGGCACTGAGCTGTGGGGCCACCTCCCGCAGCTGCGCCAGCAGCCGGCACCCACAGACCCAGGGGTTCCCCGAGATGTCGAGGTCCAACGCAGGGCTGGGGGGACGAGGTGGCAGCTCCAGCGTCCGCAGGTGGTTCCGTGCCAGGTCGAGGACATTGAGATGTCCCAAGGGGACAAAGATGTCATCAGGCAGCACCTGCAGCTCGTTATCCTGCAGGAAGAGGAGGCGCAGG